AATTTTCACACTCCTCTTTTTTACCTTCATTTACAACATTTTGTGATATGAGTGGATTAATAATTAATAAGCTTTCATCATTTTCTTGCATTACTTGATTATCTTATATTCGGAAATATTATTAAGAAAAAATCAAGTTAAAAATAATATTTAATTAAAGATAATATGCAGTATAACAAAGTAGTTATTACCTAGATAGGACTGGTCAGAATTAATGGCATTTTTACATGATAGATAATCAAACTTTTTGCTAGTATAAATGGCTTCAGAATGTGTCTTGAAGTGGGCCGGAATCGATTTATTGGATTCAGAGAAATTTTCAATCGTTTCATCAGAATCTATTTCTATTGATATATCGTTTAAAATGTTACTGTCCCACATACTTATAGTATCAAATACATCTTTAGAAGTCGGTCTTTTGTCTGGTTGAGCATCCCAACATTTAGTTATTAGCTCATTAACTAATTTAGGTACATTTGTTGGAATAATTGGACGCAAACCATTATAGATATTATTTGCAAGACTGATATCATGTGGAATACCAGAAGACCTGATACTATTTCATAAGCAATAATGCCAAAAGAATATACGTCAGATGCTGTACTATACGCTTTTTTATATAATACTTCCGGTGCTATATATGGAATTATACCATATATCTCATCATTTGATCCTATATTAGCTAATGATGAAAGTCCTAAATCTGCAACATATGCACTATGTAAGTAATATAGTAATATATTTCCACTATGTAAATCTCGGTGAATAAGACCTTGAGAATGAATAATCTGAAGATCAAATGCAATGGATGTTAATAAGAGCAATTTCTTTTCCCACTCCATTTGTGATACAAAACAAAGATTATCGCGTAAAGATCCCATTCGTAGATATTCAGTAACGAGAATATAATCTTTAGAGACTTCATCTTTTGATATGCCCAAGCATTTAAAAAAGGTTTGATTTTTAAGACCAATGTCACAATATGCCTTTAACTTTTTGTAATGAAAAATAAATTTAATTTATAGATAATATTCAAATAAATCATTAATGATAACTATAAGGATAAAAAAACATTACCTCATGTATAAATTCTTTACTACAATCCCTTGATTTGTGAAGAACTTTAAGTGCAACAGTTGTTTGATGTTGTCGTTTATGATCAATCCATTCAGCAGAATAAACGGTTGAAAATCCACCCTTTCCTATCACTTTGATATTTTCAAATTCATTATAATAAATCCAACGTATAGGATATTTATTTTCTATAATCATTTTTTTCAAAGTATCGTCTACATCAAATTTTTTATGTATCCATTCATCTATGGCTAATTAAAGAAAATAGATAATATATAATTATAGGTTTTAAATCATCATTATTGAATTAACATGAAACATTAGAAAACAATATAATTACCTGATGTTTCACCTGATGTCATATTTTTTTCCCTAATTAACCACGATATGAATTTATTATCATATTGTATGTGTAGCAAAAATACTTTTATAAGAAAAAATGATCACCTTTGATACCAATATTCACACCAATTCCATTTCGATAGTAATCACCAACTTTTTTCATTCCAAGAGCATAACCTAACCTATTTCAGCAGATTTTTTATAATAAATGAATGCTTTGCGCTCATCTTTTTCAATTCCAATCCCATCAGAGTAACATTTTCCGAGATGATATATCCCTCTATCGTGCACCATATCTGCAGATTTTTTAAAGTAATTGAATGCACTATGTTCATTCTTTTCAACTCCGGTTCCTAGCTGATAACAATATCCAAGGTTTAAGATTGCTTCTTCGTGTCCCATTTCAGTGGCTTTTTGATAATAAATAAAAGCCTTGTGTTGATCTTTATCGATACCAATTCCTTGGTAATAGCATTTTCCGAGTTGACACGTTCCTTCTTTATGTCCCATCTCAGCAGATTTTTGGTAATAAATGAATGCCTTATGTTTATCCTCTTCAACTCCACATCCATAATCATAACACAAACCAAGAAGATATAGTCCATCACTATTTCCCATCTCGGCGG